TTTCAAAATTGATGAAAACATCTTAGTATTCCTTGACCAAATGAAGACTAATTTTTAGAACTTCTCTAATTTCTTTTTAACCATACTGGTGATATGGGCCCAGAGCTTCATGCATGCCATAGGAATGCTTACCCAGGAGCTACATCCCTAGTCCTTTTTCATTTTTTTTTAAGATAAAGTCTCACTATACTTCCCAGTCTGTCCTTCAACTTGGAGTCTTTCTGCCTCAACCTCCCAGATAGCTGGGATTACAGGTATACACCATCCACACACAGCATAATTTATCTACTTTTTAATACTGTGCTGACTTATGTGAGATTTTATTTGTCTCCCTGCTCTGATTTTGAGTATAAAACATTTTGTATCATGCTTAACAAAGACATCCCCAGGAGATATTCACAATAATTATTTCTGTGATTCTTGTTTTGTTCCAAACACAGAATAAGTAAATTTTACCCAAGAGAATAAAGGTGAATAAAGGTCAAGCTAAGGGAAAGCACTTTCACAGAGGATCTCCACCCAACACAGATATCATTGTATTCACATCCCAGAAGATAAAATTAGAACAGAATTTAAGAGGAAAAAAATTGTTTCTAGTAAGTCATATCATCTGTCCTGTTCTCTTCTTCAGAATAATCCTTAAAATATTTCACTGTATCTATTTTGAGGATGACTACTATGCTTGGAATTGAAAAGACCTTCTTTAATTTCTGATATTTTCAGAAGACAATTCATGGGTTTTCTACTGCTCTCCTGTTTCACGCTACCAAAATGCACAGCTTCAGAGATGCTCTCACATCAGAGCTCAGAGAGATTACTGTTTTCTCCCTCCTAATGAAAATGAATGGTTTCCATCTATCTTTCTTCAAATGACCTCTGTCTTTAAAGAGGATAAAGATGTTTTTTTATCAGTGTGCAAAGTACGTAAGGTAACTTTTAGCATAGAGATAAAAGTAAAAAGTATAATTCTACTGAAAAGTGATATACATTAGTGCATAAATAGGATGAATAGGGTTAGAACTCACAACCTGAGAGCAAAAGAAATCATCTCATGCTACTGAAATAGGCTTGTGTGCTTCATCAGGATATATCTCAGGTGATCTATTTAATTATCTAAGAAGAAATATATGCTTGCAAAAATACATATATTGAGTTTAGTGCTTTTACCGAAAAGTTTATGGCAGAACATTACATACAGAAGAAAATGGGTACTTTGTCATTGTGTCTGAATGCTCTTAAAAGAATGATTCAATTTGTCCCTTTTTCAAAATTCTTCATTATCATAACCTGAGTTCACATTCTTTTAATATCATCCCTTCGTGATAATATAGCATCAATAGTATCCCTTTTATGAAAATTATCACTGAGAGGTAAGAACTCCAAAGGTGCTTTAATAGAATTTTATATTGCCTATAGGACCTTTAAAATGTTATTAACTTCTCTTGGGCAAGAGAAATGAAGGGTGAATTAGTTGTTATGTTCCTGAAGAGCATTTCAACTGTACATCCTATAGTTTATAGAAAAGGTGCATATTAACTTAGAGAAAATAGAAGTCGTACTTATTTTGAAGAAAGGTGATTATATACATTTTGCTCACAGTAAACTTCTGATTTCAGTAGAAAAATAAAAATTTTTGAACACAGCTTTGGAGGCATTATTGTTTCAAAATCCACCATTAAGAATGGAGAAAACAAATAACTAATATTTATAAACATACTGAAACAAGAACAGTTTTAGAGTTTTCCATATGTTTTCTTTTATATTGTCACACTATGTTTATTAAACTACGAGTGCCCTTTTTACAAACAAGGAAGTAGAAATAGGTTTGTTGCAAGGACATAACGACAAGTAAAGAAGTAAAATTTCAATCAAATCTGACTTAAAAATCTATGTAAATTATTTTTTGGAATCTGTGTCGACAAGAAATTAAATTTCTCAAAAAATTGACAGATATTCAATTTTTTCAAGGGACATAAATCTATTGAGTGTAATATCAATGCATTTTCCTTGGATTTGGGTAAATCTGTATTACACAAGTTATATTTATTTGAAAAATCTGAGACTATTATTATGTATCTCCTTTTCCATAGAGAATTATCTAACTTCTTTTCAAGAAACTTCTTTCATTCCATCTTTAGTCTGTGCTTCTGAGTCCTAAGTAAAAGGGAAGGTAAAAAACAGTGCTCATGCTAAAGTTTTGGATTTTATTATTCACTTGCTCTCCTCCTTGGCTGCACCCTGGCAATTGCAAGGGTGAGCAATTGAGCCATACAACTTGAAACAATTAGAAGAAACAGCAAGAAAAAATTAATTACGGAGGAAAGAAAACATGCAAACATGTTTCTAACATCCAGCTTATAAGTATTGTCCATTTACACAGAGATCAATATGTTCATATTATTTATTTAAAAATGAATAACTGATGCTCACTAAAGGTTTGACTTTACCTTCACTCAGCACTTCAAAGATGAAATTTGCTTCCACATGTGGTATAATTTATTCTCATCTTAAAATTAGTATATACATGATAAATAGATGATTGATAGATAATATTTATAATGTTCATGCTCTCCAGACTGTAATATTTCAAAGTCTATTCACAGCATCCACTGATACCATTCAAAGGAATTATTTTCTATTGATAAGTTTAAATTTTATGTAACTGGCATTTATTGTTGTTGATTTCAAGGTACTGGGGTTTGAATCCAGGGTTTTCACACTGAGCTACATCTCTAACCCCTTTTTTTACTTCTTATTTTTGAGACAGGGTCTTATTAAGTCACTAAATTACCCAGGCTGGGATCAAACTTTTGAACTTCCTGCATCAGCCTCCCAGAATGTCAGGATTATAGGCATATGCTACCTTACCCAAACATATGGAGTTATCAGAATTCATCCAATTTGAATATGTGTGAGTTGGCACCACTTATGTTCATTCATTTCTACATGATATTACATTAACAGCTTTTGGTCTAATCCATTTATTTTACTAAACAAATTCTATTATATCATAGATTTTAATTGATAATAAATTATATGCCTGGTTTCCATCCAAATCACCACACAAAAATATTTATTATATGGCTTTCTTTCAGAGCTTATCTCATAAATAAAAATTGTCCCAGCATTTATTTTAGAAGGACAAAATTTTAAAATTAGCTTCTCTATTGTAAGAAAATTTTTCTGTAAGTTTGGGTTATATTTATATTATTTCTGTAGCATTTTACATATTTGAAGAATTACAAAGGCTTTTTAAAAGTAAAATGCTATGCAGGTACCCTGGTAATTTTTAGCAGAAGTGTCAAAAGAGACAAATATTTGATAATTTGGGATTCCAAAATGAAAAAATATATTTTCTGTCAAGACTCCCCAGTCATGCACATGTACGAGAGAAAAGAACAAATATCAGTACTCTATGTGATCCAGAAATAAATTATTTCAATAAGAACATCTCTTGAGGAAAACCTTCTATCTCCTCCTAGAAAATTTATCAGTGGCTTCAGCTTGGCCTACTGAAGTGATTCTCCTTATCCTTGGAGATGCTGGTGTCATCCTAATTGAGATTGTTCTCCCTTAGAGGTTTTGCAAATAACAAAGCTATCTTGATCTCTACCATGAACTCATGGAAGTGTAAACTTCCTAATATAATAAAAATTTAATTTTATATTAAATTAGAAAAAGGTTTCACCAAAGCTTATTATATAGAGTACAAAGAAATGATATCATACCATTTGTCTTAAATTGCAGTATCAATCTTCCTAAATCCATGACTTCTTTGTTCTTTAGTATACTTATTGTTGGACCCACACTCAGATTTTTCTACTGGACTACTGGACATAAGCTGGTTTCCAGGTAGAACCATAATAATTTTTTAGACTTTAATATTGCAATTCTGCCATACTCTTCTTGAGCATCTACTTTCCTAATGAATCATTTGCATAGTAACCTCTTCTAGTGCTCTCTTCCTGGAAAGTTCATTTTAGTTAAGATTCTCTTTGAGCAATAATGCCATTTATATTTGACTAACATTTCTCTTTGGATTTATACTTTGTAGTTTCAGATATTGATATTAAATTTCTTTTTTTGAGACAGGGTCTCAATATGCAGTTTAGGATGGGTTTGAACTCACTATGTACCCAGTCTGGCCTTGAACTCACAGGGATCCTCCTGCCTCAGCCTTCCAAGTGCTGAGATTACAGGTGTGAGCCACCACAACCAGCTTTAGATATTAAATTTCAATGTGAACATATAATTCTAAAGTTAATTCCCCTTTTTCTTCCCACTAATTGATAATTTAACCTTGTTTTGATAATTTAACCTTTCTAGGTTATTTCTGGATGCACTAAATAAAATGAATGGAGGAAATCAGTCTGTAGTCTCAGAATTTGTACTTCTGGGACTTTGCAATTCATGGAATACTCAGGTCTTACTGTTCCTGATATTTTTGATGCTTTACACGATTATTGTATCTGGAAATATTGTCATCATGATTTTAATTGTTGCTGACGCCCATCTGCATTTCCCCATGTACTTTTTTTTGGCCAATCTGTCATTTGTTGACATGTGGCTTTCCTCAGTGACAACTCCTAAGATGATCACAGACTTTCTCAGGGAGAACAAGACCATTTCCTTCAGAGGTTGCATGTGTCAGATCTTCTTCGCCCATTTCATAGCAGCGAGTGAGATGGTTCTCCTGGTGGTAATGGCCTATGACCGCTATGTGGCCATCTGCAAACCACTGCACTACTCCACCATCATGAACTGGCAAAGGTGCACTGGGCTGGTGTTGACTTCCTGGAACATTGGCCTTATGCATGCCTTGAGTCACTTGGTTGTGATTGTGAAGCTGCCTTTCTGTGGCCCCAGGGAAATAGACAGCTTCTTCTGTGATATACCACTGGTAATCAAGCTGGTCTGCATGGAATCCTATAATTTGGACATTTTAATGAATGTCGACTGTGGGTTTGTGGGTGTAACCTGCTTTGTTCTGTTGCTGATATCTTACACATATATTCTTCTCACTGTCTGCCAAAGCTCTAAAACTAGTGCTTCCAAAGCCCTGTCCACCTGCACTGCCCATATCATAGTGGTGGTGATTTTCTTTGTACCCTGCATCTTCATCTATGTGTGCCCACTAAATATCACCTGGGTGGACAAATTTCTGGCTGTGTTTTATTCTGTTTTTACTCCTCTTCTAAATCCAGCTATTTATACACTGAGAAATAAAGAGATGAAAAATGCTATGAAAAGACTGAACATTTACACAGGCTTCCAGGGAAATACTTAATGCCCAGAAACATAATTCTAGGTACCTCAAACTGATAATACACTGACCTTATAAAATATGTACAAATTCAGGGAATTTAATTTTTATGTACTATTTACATATTACCATATTACTATTGTATCTACCATTCCATTCTCCCCTATACAGGTATAGATTTAATATAATTCTGAAAATTTAACATTTACTAATCAACGAGAAGAGCATTGTAAATATTTTCCTAAAATCCAAACAAGAATGACGCTTTCTCATGGAAAAATTAACCAACCAGTCTTTCTATGTCTTGAATCATTTAAGGAAGAACTTAAATTTGTTCAACAAACTCCTACATTGGTCGTGAGTGTTAACATTTTATTGTACTTTTCTTGATATTGTGTTAACTCCATTTACAAACATTTTATTCTTTACCTTGACATCTGTTCAAGCCTTTAACTTACTTATTTCAAAAAGCATCTTCATTATTTTTGCTTTGACCTTTCTGTGAAACTGACAGAAAAAAAAAAAAACAGAGAAAAAAATGAAGGAAGGATGAAATAAATGTAACAAATTACATAAGGAATGACCATGGACTTTGTGTTGGGTTTCATGAACTCAAAATAATAATATAAAATATCTAAAACTAATGTTATTGTTTTTAGACATGCCAGTATCAAGGATTAATATTTCATTTTAAATTATTATTTACTATTTGTGTAAAGTTCCAAAATATAATGTCCCTGAAGGCAGGGACCATGGATTAGCTGGTTAATTCTAGAATTGCGGTACTTAATACAGTCAATAATGTCATAAAAAGGCATCTCACACTGTACCAAAAAAAGAAAAAGGACATCTCACAAATGTATTTTAAAAATCAATGCAGGCAAACTGTTCTATTCAAATCCTTGTTACATTTGTTTGTGAAGGAATATCCAAATATGTTTTTTGAAACTTAGAAATATTCTTAAAAATATCAAAAATATAATTATTCATCCCCCTGGATAACACGTTAAATAGTTTGAAATCCAACTGTAAGAACTGTAAATGTCCTAAAACAAAAAGGGATATTTGGAGTGTTTATTTCTCTTAATATGGAAACAAATTACAACAAAATTATGGAATAAAAATAATGTATCATTCTTGACTGCTTACTATAGCTCACCATGTTACATGTATTATTGCCTTAATTATTATTCCAAATTGTAAATAACAAAAGAAGACTTAGAGATATATATTAAATTTGTTTAAGTTAACACAGGCTTATATTTATTCAATTAAAGAACTCAAAAATAATGTAAACATAATGTATTGCAAACATGTAAAAAAAGAGAAGGAGGTCAAGAGAAGGATAGAGGGGGTGGGAAAGAAAGGAAAGGGGATTTTTAAAGAAGGTAGTTAGGTTGTATTATGTACACGTACCAATTCCTCATGAGGAATGTATCATTTTATACCTCAAACATGCAATAAAAAAATAAATAAAAAGAAAAATATGGCGGGTTCTAGAAAAAATTTGATTCCTAGAATATTCATTTGTTAAATGACACAGCACAGTGCCATAAAACAATTACTTTTTTACAAAGAAAGTCAACTCGTGCCCAGAATATAATACCAGAATATCCCTATTATTGCCACAGAATAAAAACTATTGGAAATGTCATAATTCACATTCTTCTTTGAACATGCACTCTAAATTGTGAACAATTCTGATCATGCAGTCTGAATTGTAAACTTAAACACAAACCAGCACACAGGTAGCATTAAATGAGTAGCAAAAACTGCTCAAAATTATTGTCTTGTAAACTCAAGTCTTCTTTGTCCTACACCAATTCACCCAATTACTTGTAGTCTCTGTGCATTTAAAACAATTTTGTTCTCGTCAGTGTGCTGAGCATCTTTATATCTCTAGATACCTTTAGAAGATAATAAGTATTTAGTACTTTCCATGAATTTCCTTAATATGCAGAAATGAAGACCTAAGAATAATAAACACATTTTATATTGCTGGTGAACTACTTGTCCAGAGAATATCCAAATAGTACATGGTCTAAACTGAAGCATTTTGTCATTTTCTGCTGTGCTATACAAATAGTATTTACTAATTAATCAGGATGATTGATTCTCCTTAATCTCACTGATTTTTAATACAATCATCTTAACAGTCACTAATCTTGAAGACTTGTAGATATGCACACTATACATATTTCCACACTATACATATTTCCACACTAGAAAAAACTCAGCTGTCCAATAGCCAGTCTTTATTTCCAATTTAATGAAAATGTTTTCTATTCTCATGGAAGCATTAAGATTTTCACATCAGCAGAACTCAAACGTGTAGAAATGGAAAGCAAAAATTTTGTGAGTGGAAGCTACTCTCACTTTCACATTTTTATCCCTAAAATTAGGAAGAAAGATATTGTCTCTTATGAAAGACATAAAGGAATATTCAATCTAATAATTGTCTTACATCTGCCATTTGTGAGTCGTCATGTATCTGTTCAGATTGGTGAATTACATGGTTATGAGCCTTCTGCTTCACTTGCTGTGCTATAAAATAAATTCCCTGAGTCAAAGTAATTTTGTACAAAATATCATAAAGGTGAATAATGCATTGCTTAAATCCATATAGAGTAATGCAACCTGATATCTTATGATAAGGAAAAAAATTACATCAAGAACACGTGTTCACTCCACTGAGATAGAATTTTAATTCTTCCATGATAGAGGGGTCCATTATAATCAACCTGCTACTAGGTAGCTGACAGATCCACAGTATACTGAGCCAAATTAGTGGCTGGGAATTAAAGAGTTTTATCAGTTTTAATAACTATATCATGCTTTGGGAGAAATTCCATGTTGTTTAGCAATATCTGACATCTGACTTTAGTCATTTTGTATAGAATTCATTGAGCAAGTATTGAATGGCTGGGACTGGAGACTACCACACACACAACTTGTCATTTGTCTACCTGATTGTTAAAGCTTACTCTGCAGTGAATGCCCACTGGAAAGTATTCAAGTGGCACACCTATATTTCACAATCTATCTTCATTTTGAACAGTATATCATCCCCAGGCTTCTTTGTCACCAAACTTCCAATTCTATTCATTCTAAACCAGATCATCTAAAAACACCATTAGCGGTAATTGGTGAATTTGCTTCTGGTCAAACAGAGGGAACAATGAAATGACTATTTGCATTTCTTTCCAGTGAGAAATTTTATCTGCATCACTCCCCTTCGATACACCTATAGAGTTTTTGTCAAACTCAATTAGTTCCAAATTCATGTTTGAACATCAAAAAGTTCAAGAACTGAACATATTTTTCCCATTAGAAATAATGTAAAACCAAACAATTAGTTCTGAGGCCAAAAAATTACACTTATAATTTCATTTTTCCAGGACTTTAATAAATTTCACAATGATTTCTTTTTTTAACTTTATCATGGTTCTTACAGTTTTCCTCTTAACTTTACTGCTGGTGTCACTAACTTTCTTTGGAGCCATTATTACGATATTTCATGCAAATAAAGTGCAAAAAATGCACAATGACAAATGTTTCAATGCACTAAGAAAAGCACTCTACGTTGCTTAGGAGAGAGCAGTGCTTAGACTGAAGCATTAACCCTTTGTGTTCATGGCAAGACATGATGCTTAACTCACTATGAGCCTGTTCAGGTTTTCTCAAGTCAGATTTTTGGTTCAACCATAGAACAAAGTTATAAACACTGCACAAGTTTTTTTTCAAACTTCAGTAGTGGAAAGTTCTAGCTTGGAGTTGTTCTACAACCAAGGTATCACTGCAATACTAACCGTAACTAACAGTTTACCATGGTACTTCTAATTGGTGCTGTAAAGATGTAGACTTCCACTTCTAGTTGCTTCTAATTACTACTATAATTTTCTATTACAAAACAAAATCTGTATATTCATGTCCAAGTTTTGAATTACTATTTCAATTAGGATTATGGAATACTCTATGTAGCCATAGGTATATCCTGAAGACAAGGGATAATTCAACAGAAATGGTTGTAAAAACCGGAAAGCCATAAACTACTAAAACAATAAATCCTCTGGACCTGCTAAACTTGATCTCTTTCATACCATTCCACTAAATAATAGAATATTGTTTTTGCACCTCAATTTTGAGGTTCAAGGAGTAAGATTATACACAGGCTATAACAAGTAGCTTAGGTCACAAGGTTATTCAATGTCCAAGTTTGTGCATTTTCCAGATCCCAAGTGGATGCTAACCATTAAAACTTGAGAAAAGTTATTAAGGTAATTTATCACCCAATATCTGGTTCAGATATGTCCAATGCACCCAAAATGCTTCCTTTTTCTGATTAGTAAGTACAATAATAATTGATATATTTATGTATATGGTCATGACATGCAGAATGTCAAGATGACCAATATTTCTGGAGATACAGGATGACAAATGGGAAATTTTCATTATATTATATCCCAATAAAATTAACAAAAATATAATATGAAAAAGTATATATAATACTTGTTATAGTAAAAACATACAAATATGTACATCCATACTTTTGATATTTATAAGGCTGTTAACTCTTCCAACAAGAAATATACACTCTCAAGTTATGACACAATTTTACAGATAATTCCATGAGACAATCATGATATTTTATTAATTATATTAAGTTAGTCTCATAAAAATTCTCTTAATATAATATCAAAAAATATTTGTAGGGGACCGGGGATTTAGCTCAGTTGTTCTGGTGCCTGCCTTGCAAGCGCAAGGTCCCAAGTTCGATCCCCAAACCCCCCCAAAAAAAGAGAGAGAGAAAAAATATTTGCAAAAAGGAGATTGTGTGTCTCTCACCTGATTCCACATGAGTAATGTAGATGGCAGATTATGATGGCAGATTATTTTCTAAATTACAAATGCTATGATTAATCAAAGGATAAAGTAAAACCTCCACAGTGGTTCTTTCTATTTATGTCCTTTCTTAGACTTCTTCCCATCTCTTTTTGGGATTCTGTGCTATTTATGCCACAAAG